GTTGGCGCAGGATAGAGCAGGGTTTAGGGCTGTTGTGCATAGGGTCGCTATGAGTCGGAAACGACTCGACGGCACATAACAACAACAACAACAGTAAGTCCTTAAAGCTTAATATTCATGCAGACTTGGCGTTGGAGTTCTTGCTCTTCACATACCAACACTGCCGTCTTGGGCAAGTTACTTAACATTTTAAGTCTCCATTTCCTCATGTGGGAAGTGGGTGTAATACTACCTCTTAGGGTTGTTGTGAGGATTCAGTGTAATGCACTTAGCATGGTATTTCCAGTTTGTCTTTCTTCACTTATTCAAGCAAATACTCTTAGAGCACCTGCCTCCTGTTGGAGCTCTAACTGAAAGATTCTCGGAGTGATTTTTGTCCTCCCTTACCCCCTCTCCGGGGACAAAAACTAACTGGAGACATGTTTTTATTGTCCAGCTGAGGATAAAGGGACTCCTGCTGGCATCCAGTAGGTAGAGGCCAGGGATGCCGCAAAGTATTTTGCTGTGCACAAAGCACGCCCTTGCCAACTGCACCCCAGTCCCACCCTCCAGCAGAGAATTACCTGGACCAAAATGTGAGTAATGCCAAGCTTCAGGAATGCTGCTCTCAAGTAATAGTAGTATGAAAAGTTACTTAATGTGTGTACATTAGCGAGAGAAGACAGGTAGTAAACTAGTAAGCTTATAGATGAACACAACTATTTCAAATTGTATTAAATGCTATGTGCCAGTCAGTTAAGGTACTGTAAGAACATCTGAGGATAGAGGTTTTCAAAGTTTACATCTATATTCTACCTTAATGAAAAAATGTGGCCAAATAAGCCAGGATCAGAAAGAAGGTTGTTCCAGGCAGAGGGAAAAGCAAATGCAAAGGCTTGGAGGCAGGAACAAACTCAGCCTGCTTAATGAATAGAGAGATAAGCCCATGTAGCTAGATCCTATAGGGACAGTGGTCCGTAGACTGTTCAGTAAAGGCTCTGTAGCAAGTACTATAGTACAGTCTCTACCCTAGCTACTCAGCTCTAGTGAGAAAGCAGCCACAGCGAGCGTTCCGGTAAAACTTTATTTACAAAAACAGATGACCCATCATATTTGGTGCAGGATATTGTAGAGCATGGTAAAGCATCTGGGTTTTAAAATACAATAGGAAACGTTGATGGAATTTTTTTTAAGCAAGGAAGTGCAGTCTCCTTTGATCATATTTGGCGCATCTGTAGACCCCTGCTATAGGGTCTTACGGGACATGGTAAAGCATTTGGGTTTTAAAATCCAATTGGTGTGCTCGCTTCGGTAGCACATATACTAAAATCCAATTGGAAATCTTGATGGAGTTTTTAAGCAAGGAAGTGCCATCTACTTTCTGGTAGAAAAGGATCCTGTGTCTCCTGTGTGTCTGCAGTGAGTGAGCCTGCTGGCTGTTCCTGCCTCCTGTCACGTACTTTGTGACAGTGTAATATGTGGCTCCCTGCCATAGTTTGCACTTCTCTATCTCTGTGCTTCTGTTCCTGCTGTTCCCTCTGCCTGCAGTTCTCTTTTCCTCCTCACAAGCGGCTCAGTTGAAGTGCCTTCTCCCTTGACATCATCCTTTCTTATTAGAACGACTCTTCTTCCCGGACCCTGGGTACCTCTATTATAGCACCTTAGCATTATAGTGTCATTCGGCCTTGTCATCACAATAATAGTAACAGAACTCATTGCTGTGGTGTCGGAACGGACTCAGAACTGGCCCTGCCCTTCCTTCTTCCTAAAAGCTTCTGGAGAATTGGAATAGCCAGAGGTGCAGCTTTCGGATTAGCATCACTCCATACAGACTACGTCACCAGAGCTCTACTAGTAGTGGAGTATTACAGTATTATTATTATTATTATTATTAAATAGTATCATTATTATTGCTATACTCATAATCGCCACATACCTGTTATCAAGAGTTCTAGTAAAATCTGTAGATACATTTCTTCCACATTCAGTCCATGCAGCAACTACATGTGGTAGACATTATCCCCATTTTCCAGGTGATAAAACTAAAGTCCATAGGGCTGTATGACTTGGCTAAGTTCACACAGTGCAAAAGCATCAGATTTGGACCCAGCTCTCCCTGGCTGCAAAGCCCATAGAGACGACTAGATAGTTGTGTCTGCCTCCCTCACTAGTCTGAGTTCCTTGAGGGAGGAGGCCCTGTCTAATTCATGTCTATACCCTGTGCCTAGTACAGTGCCTGGCAAAGAATAGGTGCTCTATAAATGTTTATTCTGGTGAACTGGCTTCAGATAAAATACAACGGGGTGTTACGAATGTGCTATCTTCAAGACCACTAGGTGTCACTTTAGATACGTAAATGGGGTTTGAATTGAATGTGACGGAAATGATATTAAACAGCCTCTGGTAATTTTAACAAAGAAGAAATGAGCTTTTCTTTTTTGAAATATGAATCAGGTCATGGACATCTGTTTTCAAGTACTTGACCAGGATTCATTTGCTATCCAGATGAGATTTTGTCCAATTTCCTCCCCCCTCCAGTGTTTTTCGCTTCGTACACTGCTATGTTGTCTGTGTTGTCCGTGGTAGTTAACTTAACTGATAAACATTTGAGCACCTGTTGTGTGTCAGGTACTGTGCTAGACTCTGGGGCTACAGAGATGAATTGAGACATGGCCTTTACCCTCAAGGAGCTCACACTCTATTTGGGGAGACTGACAGGTAAATAACTATAATATACTGTGCTGTATATTGTAATAGAGGAATCCTGGAAGTGCTGCAGAAGCACAGAGAAAGAAATTATTGTGCTTAAGGGGGTCATAGAGCAGTTAATCTGGAACTTGGAGAACGAGTGGGAAAAATGAAGGAAAGTGGATTTCAGCTTGAGAGAGCAGCATGAGCAAAGGATGTAGAGTTGGGGAGAGGCACAGGTGGGATTGAACAGTAGATGCTCTGCCAAAAAGAATCATGGGAGGTGAGGGTGGAAAAGCTGGTTGGGGTGGGAGCTGTTAGTTTGTAGAGTCCTGGGTGCCACATATAAGACTTTGGACTTGAAAGCCATGCTCCAAGTCTTTTGTCAAGGGAGTAATCCAGTGAGTTCTCGGTTTTAGGTAGCAGACTCTAGGGAGAGCCTGGTATCTGGAAAATAGTATGGCTAGTCTATTCCATGGACCTACATGTGGGCCTGAAAGTGAATGGCTGGCATGGCCAGGAAGGAAGGCCTGAGAGAATATAGAGGAAGAATCACCAGAGTCCAGGAGTGCCCACGTTGGGGGCGCAGAGAAATGCCAAAGAGAGCTTCTTCCTGAGGAAGCTGTTCCCTGGGAGACAGAAAGCAGGAATTCCAAGAAGATAAAACAAGAAATGTGATCTGTCCACTATTGTTGTTGTGTGCCATCGAATCTGACCCTTCAGCTGGTTTTCAGAAGCAGTAACTCACACGAGAAGAGATTGCGTTGCCTTCTTTCTCCCATAGAGCAGTTGGTGGATCCAAACCATGTGCCTTTGGATTGACAGTGCAACTCCTTAAACACTAGGCCACCAGAGCTCCCTAATGTCTGTCCACTAGACTATGAAGAATGATAATTGGACGCTCTCTCCAGTTGCCAGGGGAGCACAGAGGTCCCAAAGCATGCAGCTCCCTTGGGGAACTGCACAGTGCCAGCCTTGATTCTGGACTAGCTGTCCACTCATGCTTATCTCGCACTGGGGACAGTGGTGGTGTCCCTGATTCTGCGTTCAGCCGGCGGACATTCAGGAAGACAGGCTTCTTTTTCTGAAACAGGTAAGTGGGATGATCAGAATTCGCAGACCCTGCTTGACTTAGAAGCCCAGCTGTTGCTAAGGAAAGTGACACTAGCCAAAACTCTGCATCAGCAACCATAGAGAAAAAAGAAAACTTTAACCACTGTATAGCTTCTGCGCTGCGAAAGGTCACTCATTACCTGACTGTGCATATGTGAATACGTCCTTTTTGTGGCTTTGAAATCTCATTTGCCTTTTGTGTTTCTCCTTTAGGGTTGGTGTTGATTCAGATCAAGAACATTTGGTAAATATGTGTTTGTGTTGTTCTGGCCTTTCTATCAAATCCACAGTCTTTTGGAAAGAGAACAGTCTCCTGCAGACCTCACTCTACTATTGTTTAAGATCCTCTCCTGTTTGCAATAGCTTTTAATGACAGAATTCCTGGCTTCTCTCATTGCTTGATAGAGGCAAAGCCAAATTTGCGACAGGAGTGACAGTGTTGGTACAAGCGTCTGCACTGGGTCTTTGCCCTAAGAGAGTGGTCCCTAAGTGCTCCTGGGTTTTTAAGTGACTTCTCTGGCACAGGATGCCTTTTCCCACTTTGTTTTGCGCATGAAGGCTTGTCTCTGATGTCAGTACCACGCCAGCTGCTCTTCCTGTGGAACCCTTAAACTGGATGACCAGCAGCTGCCCTTGTGAATGGCCTAGAAGCTTTTGAATCATCAGCCCTGTTCCCCGCACTTTGTTAGCCTGTGCCTCAGCCTTGCCCAGCTTTCCTGGCTCAGTTCCCTGGAGCATTTTCTCAATTGTTCCTGTGACCCTCAGCCAGTTGGACAAAGTGCTGTGTAACTCGGTTCCATTTTAGCCCTACCACCCCTTTCTGGTACTTTCCATCAGAGAGAGAGAGAGAGAGAGAGTGTGTGCGCACACGCGCGCACATCCACATGCCTCTGAATGCATATATTTTATATATTTATAAAGATTGGTATAAGAAATCACAGAAATTAGGTTTTGAAGATGGAAAACATCCACAGTATCATTTGGTTTCAAGGACACAATTCCTCTCATGTCTGAAACAAGTCTTGGTATTTGTCATCAGGCTATGGTTACAAAATAATGCTCTGATCTCTCTTTTAAATGCTAACTTGATTAGCTGTTGAGAGAGAGAGTGAGAGTGTGTGTATGTGTGTGTGTGTGTGTGTGTGTGTGTGTGTGTTTCTGTGTGTGTGAGAGAGAGCGATTTCTCCATTTTTTTGGTCAGAACCCGAAAATACAATTTCATACACTTGAAATGATGTACAGACCAAGTTGGATAAATTCCCATGATGCCAAGCTGCTGGGGTAGTTTTCAAGGCATAAGAGCTCCTCAGTGCCTCCCACTCTGTGTCAAAACCAGAATCACGTTATCACCCAGCTCATAAGGCAAATGCTTGACTCTCTGTCTCCATCTGCCATGTCACCTCTGTCACTACAGGGGCGAGATGGGAGGGCAGTGACAGTGGGAGAGCCAGGGAGGTGAGTACTGGTTGTGACAAGCAGAAGAAAAGTTTCTATTTGTCCTTTACCTTCAAAACCCTGTGGCTGTCTTGGTGTGTTCTGTTGTTAACTAAATATTTTGAGTCTCCACCAGGTAGCATAGAGGAACATTCTAGTAAGTATGGAGTGTGGGGTTAACAGGTGGGTGTGTGTGGTGAAAAGACTCTTGAGATTATAGTTTAATTGAAAAAGTTAGGTTGGTCCTCAAAGTAGGAGCCACACAAACCTACATCTTCTAATGTGCAAGACAACACAGAGGGTGTTTTTTAACCCCAGGAAGCCTACAATGTTTTCTCAAACATGTTTATACTGTATGCTTCAATACCTGTGGAGGGGAAGAGGAATTCCTTTTAAGGATCAGAAAGGACTGGAGGTAAAAAGCAGAAACTGGTGTTGAAGCTCTCAGAACATCACAGAGCTGTGGAACATTAGCATTAGCGCCCAAGGACCCTCACATTTTACACACAGAGACATTCCAGCCCAGAGAGGAAAAGGGACTTGGCCGATTTTGAATTCTGAGCCAGGACTAGAATTGTGCTCCCCCACCCCATCTGACAAATCGGGAGACAGTTCATGTCTTCAGAAGCTGTTTTAGCAGATGCCTGCTTGCTGGCTTCATCTACCCTCCTAGCTTGCCAGGAGGTTAAATTTTACCATGGAAGTTGACCATGGATTTCCCATGCGACTTCCTTTTGCCTGTGTCCTAAAAGCATAAGAGCCCCTTTGAAAGCGGGGCTCTCTTTGGGTCTCGATGCCAATGCCCAAAGCGAAGATGTTGGTGTGGTGTTTTCTGTGTAAGATGCTGTTCACAGGGGGAGTACAAAGCTTTCACATTGAGCTGTGAGTCATTCCATCCTGATTTTTAAATGGTAACAGACTCGCAGATCAGCAAGCAGTCGGTGTAGTAATGGTGTTCAAAGGGGACAAAAAAATGCCGTTTCTTGCAGAGCTATAGTATACAAGCTATTAGATCTCTGATGTTACCCTCGTTAGGAGAATCTCTCGTACGTATTTTGGGGTCTACAACAGAATGGCATAACTGTGCTTAGCTTTGCATATACATTGCTTTATTCTCTGCTTCCAGGGTGTTCCTGAAAATGAAAGAAGAACCACCAAAGCAGAGAGTGCTTGGCTCTTCCGGATATGGTACAACTTTGACCATAAGTATCCTTAAAAGAGGGGGAAATGATAGTAGGAATGTGAATAAGGATGATGAGCTCTGGTGGCATGGTGGATTTTGTGTTGCACTGTTAGCCAAAGGTCAGGGGTTCAAATGCAAGATAGGCAGTCTTCTCCTGTGAAGATTTCCAGTCTTGTAAAACCCACTGGAGGGTTTCTGTGAGTCAGAATCGACGCAACAGCGACGGGCATGATTCGGCTAAATAGTTCAGCTGTTCCAGCCCTGCCCTTCTTGAGGTGGAATTCCAGCCTGCTCTGCAGTCCTCCGTTCCCCCCGGCTGCAGTGGGGAAGTGGCTAAACGGAGCACTCACAGCACAGACTTCTCAGGCAGCCAAAGGGCACCAGCTGTGTGTTTTGTGGATGTAGTAAAACAACCCACCCACAGCTCTTGAGGCAGAGCTGACTCGCAGCAGCTGGTAGGACAGAGTACAACTGCCCATACGGTTTCCAAGGCGGAAAATTTTCATGGGAACAGACGGTTACCTTGAACTCTCGACCTTTGATCGCTGTGCTTCAAGGGCTCCTTGGATGTTTAGGGTTTTTTTTTTCCTATTTAAGTGACTTAATATTTATTCTCCTTTGGCTTATTTAGTGAGCCCAGAAAAAGTTACTTGTTGATTCTTGTCAAAAATACCTGGTGGTGGAAGAGGAAACGCCATCTTAGGAAACGGTGTGGGAAGGAAAGAAAGGCAGCTGTGTTAAGATGCTGCTCTGTTCAGTGATGTGCCTTCTCTCCTGTCCTTTACATCGTCGCCAATAACTCGTCCTTTCCTGGCTTCTCAAAGTCCTCCTTGTCCCCTTGTCCGTCCCCTTCACACCTATGCTTTGGTAGTGTGATATTCTGTAGCCTATTTAAATCAGGCATTTAAAAACTTTTGACCACTGTTTAGTAAAAGGAATTTATTCCTTGAAAATCAGACCAGAAAAAGGAACGAAGAGGTTCTTGCTGGCTGAGATTTAGCCATAGATGAACAGAAACATGGTTTATGTTCCACTGAAACAAATTAGAGACAACTTGCTTTTTTTTTAATCAAAGAAAAATACATTTGACATTTAGTGACTTAGCATCGATTTTGAACCTATTTAAACTCCATATATATAGAAATATATCTGTGGCACTAAGACTTCCATTAAAGAGTGAGTTCTTGGCTCTTTAAAATTGTTTAATGGTTGTGTCATTGTTTTTGGCTCCCTTATCAACATTTGGGGTCTAAGCCACTCCCATCTCTGGGGGCTTTATCATCCCTCTAAGTAATACAAATTATCTTTGTGTTTTCTGCATGAAATCTCTTGTGCATTTTCTGCACAGTAAACTATTAGGTGATCTAATATAGAGAGAAAAAAGTAGAATAAGAGCTTATTTTTTTGTATGTTCTGGAAGAAGACACCAAGACTTGTTAGCCTTAATACTACTCTTGTAAGGGCTGCTAGACTAAAAACTAAGCGAAAACCCGTACATGCTAGATTGTGTGGGGGTTTGATGTCCAGATTGCTTGTTTATTTTAATTGAGGTATAAATTAAATATAACAAAAAGTGTATGAATCTTAAAGGGTGCAGCTTCATATTGACCTATAACTAGCTGAATCAAGATCAGCACCGTAGGAATTGCATTATGTCCCCTTGGGTGCTGCTCATTATATAGGTGGACTGTTTTACCTGTTATACTTGGGTCTTTGAGCCATCACAGATTAATATAGAGGGAGATATAGATCAAGGTCTGCTTTTTTGGTTATTGTTGTTAGGTGCCATCGAGTTGAGTATAACATATGGCAACGCTATGCACAACAGATCTGAACCCTGTCCTGTCCTCACCATCTCTGACGCAATGATTAAGGCCCATTGTTTGACTTGGGTGCATTGCTTTTTTCCTATACAGATATCCAATTGACCCAGCACCATTTGTTGAAAAGACCATTTGCTATTACCAGTTGCTATTGACTTGATTTTGACTTCCAGCCACTTCATTGTGTCAGAGTAGATCCACCCTCCGCAGTGTCTTTGGTGGTTGATTTTTCAGGAGTAGATTAGTGGACTTGAACTGCTAACCTTTCCATTACCAGCTAAGCACATTAACCATCTGCACAGCTCAGGAATTCCTTGCTCCACCACATTGTAGTAGAGCCTTTGGTGTAAATCACTTGACCAGACATGTGGAAGTCTATTTTTGAACTCTCTGTTACAGAGAGTGGGGTGGAGCTCCCCAATTAAAATAAGCCTGGAAGGAGGAGTGGCATCCAGTTCCATAACACCTTGCCTCCAGAAACCCTATGAACCTGCAAAGAGGATGAAAGGCACCCAAGCTTCGAGGACTCTCCTTCATAGGGTCACTATGAGTCGCCTGTGACTCGACGGCACTTAGCAACAACAACAGCATTATTCTATCTGTATATTTTTTGGCATCAATAACACACTCTCTTTATTTTTGTCCTTTTAAGGAAATTTTTCTGTCTGGGTGAGTAAATCCTCTTCTAGGTTTGTTTTTCTTTCATTAGATTTGTCCCTAGGTAGTCGGGTTTTGTAAGATTGCTAGATGCAAGGCCTAGATACAGGATACAGTTCTCTTTCCTTTTTTTTCCCCAAGGGGGTAAATAATGAATGAGTATCTCAAATAGACAAGCTCATGAGACATAATTAAAATATCTTTAGCATTGACTTTTCTTTCCTCCATAAAACTTTATAAGGAAAGAATCAGCTTGATACTGAAATTTCTATCATAAGAGCCTTCAGGAAACCTGGTTAGTCCCCAGTAAGTGGGTAAAGCCATATTTTTTTTTTTTTACTATTTTTTATACTGGAATATTTAATCTTGTTTTGGACAATTGTCAGAGACATTGGTCCATGTCTCCTTCCCAAGGAGTGATATTTTAGAGTAATATTCACTTTGTTTAGTAAAATCGGGAAAGCAATATGATTTAGTGGCGAGGGCACAGGCTTGGGAACTAGACTGATGTGCACTGGAGTTTCGCCCCCCCCCCCCTTCACCCCTTGCCAAATGGTGTGACTGTGGGCACACCATTGCCTCCCTGGGCCTCAGTTTCCATGTCCGTGAACTAGAGCTAGTCAGCAGCTCTCCCTTGGTTGTCTCACTGGCATTGTGGAGATGGAATGACACCACATGGGTGAGTGATGGTGGATGCCGTCAAGTGAGCTGTTGTTTCAAAGTGCTCTAGACAGGTATGAAGCTCTTCCTTAACAAGCACAGCTACCTGAAGCCTCTGCTGACACACAGTGGGCCTCCGCTCACGACCACCTTGCCTGCATGCTGTGGACCCATCGCACGATGCCTCACCAGCCCTCAGGCCTATGAAGTAAGTTAGTTTCAGCTCTTCTGGAAATGGGATCGGCTTGCTCTGTGGATGGGGGACCAAGTTGCTAGTTGTGTTTTCTTTTGCTTGCCTGTAGGTATAAAAACCATGAGAGAGACTGCAAACAGGTTTTTGCTCAGTCAAGTGACAATACAGGCACACCTTGGAGGTATCGCAGTTTCAGACCCAGGCCACCGTGATAAGAGAGTCCAAAACATCTTGTTTGTTTCTCAATTAATATAAACATTATGCTTTAGTATATTACGTGTATAGGGAGCTCTGGTAGCTTAGTGGTAAGGAGTTGCACTGCCAACCCAAAGAGAAACAATTCGAATCCACCAAATGCTCTGCAGGAGAAGGAGGGACAGTCTCTTCCCATGTGATTTACTGCCTCTGAAAACTCACTGGAGGGTCATCTACAAGTCAGTTCTGACTCCACAGTATATTCATAGCAACATATTGAATGGAGCTGTGGTGGCCTAGTGGCAAGAAGCTGCACTGCGATCCCAGAGGTATGTGGTTCAAATCCACCAGATGCTCTGCTGGAGAAGGAGGGGCAATCTCCTCCTGTACCAGTCAGACCCGATTTGACGGTACACACTAAAAAGAATAAAAACATTTAAAAATAACATATATTGAGTGTACAGAAAGTATTATGGAAAGGTTTCAAATGAGAGAGTGACCAGAATGTGACACACAGATCCAAGGTGAGCTCAGGCTTTTGGGACATGGCTGGGCTAGGCCAGCTCGACGCAGTCACAGCCAAGCTTTGATTTGTGAGAAATGGAATGTCTGTGCATGAAATAAAATGCAGTGCAGTCACATGAGGCACACCATACACAGAATCTAGCAGCGCAATTCATAGCCTTTGAAATAGCCTTTGAAAACAGATACACACAGTATCTCATCTGCTTGCAGATGATTTGAGCAAACAGTTCTTTCCCCCTGCATCTATTTGCATTATGCAACCTGAGCTCGTTAATGAATGTGTTTTCATTTTTAAATTAGGGGCATCACATTTACATTGAGAAAACTCTTTGCCATCAAGTTGGAAGTGACTCACAGCTGACCCTCTAGTAGCTTTTCAGAGGTAGTAAATGGCACAGAAGGACGTTGTCCATCTTTTTCGCAAGGAGCTGCTGGGGCATTTGAACTGCATGCCTTTGGGTTACCAACACAACTCCTTAGTCACTAGGCCACCAGTGCTCCCTTGACATTGTTGCTGTGTACTGTTGAGTCAGAATCAACCCATAGTTGACTCTTTGGTGGGTTTTCAGAGGCAGTTAATTGAACAGAAAGATATTGTCCATTTTTCTCCTGTGGAGCAGCTAGTGGATTCAAACCATGAGCCTTCAGGATTGCAGTGCAGTTTACCACTAGGCCACCAGAGCTCCTTAGCTTCCTTTACAGCAGGCAGAAGCCACATGGAGCAGATGGGACCATGTTGACATGGTATGTGTGACACTTAGAGCTTCATGGTATATGGAATTGGTGCTGGCTTCTGACATTTGGCTGGTGGGGCGAGCGAGTCCCCCTTGGTGCCTTGTCCCTGCCACATTGGTCAGGCTTCCTCCTCAAGCAGAGTCTCCGTTTCCTCTGGGCCACATGAGCCCTTGTTACTACAGAGGGCTGTGTTCAGCAGCTCCATCGGTGAAGACATGACTCTAGGTTCCAGAGACCCATTCAGCATCACCAAAAGCTAGAGGACACCCACATCAGGTGTATGTTTTGTGCAGTATAAAAAAGCACAGCACTGGATGAGAGACAATCTCTTCTATTGTCTTTTGATAACTACTTAAAATTATAAAAGTAATGAGTTATATAATATGTAAGTGATGAGTTATAGCCAAATATTCAAACAGTATGGAATGTACTAAATAAAACAATGCATTTCCCCTCCTCCTCCCACCTACATGCCCAGAGGCAATCTTCTTTAAAAGTTTATGGGTCTCCTGATAAGTTTTACCTATACAGACTTACACAGTAGAACTTGTGAAAGTTAGAATGGGATAAGAAGAGAACCTGTCAGGGAAAGGAAACAAAGATTTTTTAGTGCTTTTCAAAGGTGAAAAACATGATGCCTTTACATAAAACCAAAGCAGAGTCCTCTCAAGTTCCTGCATAGAGGTGTATTTGTAAATTTGGTGTTGTTTTACACAGATGGAACTGTTATAAGTTCTACCACGTTTTTCACTTAATGATACATCATAGATGACTTTCCATGTGAGTATCTTATGATGTCACCTCCTTTTTGTCGCTGCATAGTACTCCATTGTATAGCTATACCAATATTTATTATTTAATCTGTCTCCTATGGATAGATGTAGTGTACTCTGATGGACTAATCATAAGAAACTGCACTACAATCCCAGAGGCTTATGGCTCGAATCCACCCACTGCTCTGCGAGGAGAAGGATGGGCTATCTCCTCCACTCTGATTAACTTTCCCTGAAAACCCTCTGGAAGGTCATGTATAGGTCACTTCTGACTCTATGGTACACAGCAACACAACATGGATAGATGCAGCTCTGGCGGCTTAGTGGTAAAGAGTTGCACTGTCAACTCAAAGGCAGGCAGTTTGAATCCACTTTCTGAGGGAAAAAGATGAACAATCTCCTGTGAGATTTACAGCCTCTGAAAACCCGCTGGAGGGTCAGGTAGGAGTCGGTTCTGACTTAACAGTACGTAACAACAAGAACATGGATAAATACTTGTTTCCATTTTTGTTTGGTTTGCTATTACAAACAACACAGTGGACATCTTGTGCTTATACTTTTCCTCTAGAAAATAAAGGTATGTAGACTAGATCTTTTAAGTGTAAAGCTCAGTCAAAAGGTACATGCATTTCACTTTATTTCTTTTTCATTGTACCTGCCAAACCTATTCATGATCTTGGGTGTGGTCCATTACACTTGCCCATATCTGGGCAAGTGATAACAGCCACCCACATAGTAAGTTAGGTGAAAGGAAAGTTATAATGGAAAAGACTGATTCACAGTATATCACTAAAGAAAAGGGAGACACAGACCTTTCCGAGAATCAGGGACAAGAGGCCATTGCATACACAGCCCTGCGATATCAGTAATAATGTGGACACACAGGCAGACAGATGAGATGAAGGCATATGCATTTTTAAACTCAGTATACACTGCCCCAGACTTCAGACTTGGTCTAGTGATGCATAGTTGCGGCAGGACCTGTGATGGAGTCCTGGAGCTCTGTTGTGACAGTGCTGAGCAAAGCGGGAGAGACTAGACTCACTACTAAAATAGACGACATGTAGGGATTGGGTTTAATTGTCATCACGGGCTCGGTTTTGTTATTTTTAATTAATTCCTATTTTTGGGGCTTTGAGTATTTAGGCAAACTTCTTACAACAATAAATGTACATTTTCCCCCCCTTAGATTTTTGTCTAACAATCTTCTCAGTCTCTTCTGACTATCCTAGACAAATGTAGAATTTTAAAATATGCACGGGTCTTGGAAAGCTGGACAGTCACATATAGTATCTATCATGGAGGGTATCTATGTTGGCTCTAATCATTTCAAGACTATTAATCCAGATTTCTCCCCCCCCCCAGATCAGTATGAATCTTCAAAATGATTCTCACTCTTTACATTAGAAAAGGAAAGTACCTTTGTCCTGGTGTTTATGATATGTACTCATTATTTTTAGATACTTTTCCAGATGTTTCTATGCATTCATACATTTTTTTTTTAAATTTACCAAAACAGGACAATATCTTCTTGAGTCAGGAAAGGACAATATCTTCTTGACACAAGGAAAGCTCTACTATAGGGGTCAGACTATGTATGGGGGTGCTACAAGGGCATACGGGAGGAGAGGCCCCCTTACAAAGGACATCAAGGAAAAGTTTCCTTTAAATGATGTTAGAAGTCTTGCTGACTATAAAGTGTTAGTTGTCTGAAGGAGGGCAGATGGAACATGTGGACCAGCCTGAAGGTGACATGACTAACACTCTGTGGGTGTCGGGTGGACGAGGTAGATGTTGCTGGTGAGTTAGGCCTTCCGACTTCATCCTCAGAAGCGTTTGTTTTGTTTTTTTAAGAGAGAATCCCTTACAATCCCCTCATTAGAAAGGTTGCTTCAATTTCTTCCCGATCTTTGAAATGGATTTCCTTTGCATTTAGAACCAGGAACAGTTGAAAGATGACGACTCAGATCTGATTCTCAATGATGGCGACATCAGTTTGACGTATGGGGATTCGACTGTGAACACGGAGTCGGCTGCGTCTAGTGCTCCCAGGAGGTTCATGGGAAACAACTCTGAAGATGCACTGGACCGGGAGCTGGCATTTGGGGACCACGAACTGGTCATCCGGGGTACACGCCTGGTCCTCCCCATGGATGATTCGGAGCCCCCGTTAAATTTGATGGATAATACGAGACAAGGGTCAGCCTAAGGTTACTGATCCTCACTTAGTGATTTGTAAACTTTGCACATGTGATTGTGAAGAAATCTCTACTACCTACAAAGTCCCAGTGCATGTCTCGGAATGTTTCCGCTGTATAAATCCTGTTTATATGGCATAGAAAGATATCAATATCCTGTACAAGGCAGATTGTGAGCAAACTACACCTTTTTGTTTGTTTCGTTTTGTTTCATTGGCTGCACTCTGTAGAACGGATTTGTTTTTAAAAGTTCTTTTCACGGTGATGTTGTGTATTCTGTTAGCCTCACATCCCAGCTGGAAGTATCAAAAGCGATGGGTGTCCCCTTTCTTGCAGTACCTGACCCGTAACTGGGGTGCCGCGTTCTCGTGATGTGAATTCCTTTTGGGGGTGGGGGAGGGGGAGGGCTTGTTGCCGCGGGAGCCTGGGGTGGGGTGGGGTGGGGTGGTTGCTGCTGCGCCACCTTTTTTTTTGTCGCCACCTTTTTCTTCCCCCTTTCTCTGATGGCCTGTGGAGGAGCACAGGAGCTGGTGAGATCTACTGCTGATGGCATTAGACTCCTTTTCCAGTTGGGGAGGAACTCCTGGGGGGTCCTTTCCCCCTTGCTGTGAAAAGTCAGTGATTACCATACAGCTCAGAAAAAGGGGCTGCACGTGATGTTTATGACTGTCCTCCCTCCCAGAGCAGGATTGTAGGAGGGGCAGCCAGCTGGCAGCCACAGGACAGGTGTATGCAGCCAAGAGTGGAGGGTCTATCCAGAGGGGCGGCGCCAGAGAGCCGGGGGCAGATAGAGACTGGTGGGCTCAGAGTGCTCTCTTCCCAGATTTGTAAATACTCTATATCAGATAAGTTGAAGAGATTTAATTGCTGCTTAACTTTTGAACATGTACTTTATCTGTATAGCAAGCTTTGTGGTTGGATGTTTTTATATCACTTTAAATTGCTGCTCTTTAGCAGCCAAACAGGAGCAAAATGTAAAATTTTTGAACTTACTATGTCCTTCGTCAGTCTGTAGTTGAGTAGCCGCTGTTCCCAGTTATTTATGGATCCGCAGCTAGTTGCGCTCTGCGCCAGTGGCGTTAGAACTGGAATCACTCCGGGGCGCCCTCTCCTGGGCGTTTCTGGTCAGAGTTGGCGGTGTGTGTGTGGGTGTGTGGGTGTGTTGTGTGTGTGCACTGGGTGTAGTTGTTTCCTCTCTGTGTTACGTGTGTGTGTGTGTGTGTGTTGTGTGTGCTGGGTGTAGATGTTTCCTCTCCGTGTTACTTTTTATAATTAATACTTAAGCTGCCATGTGTGTGATTTTGTTTTCTCTCCATGCTTCAAGGAAGAGCACAGAACATTTCTCATTTCATATTTTGAATATGAAAGCGAGTGTCATTCTGTGATGCCTAATAGTGCATCAATAAAGTATACTCCAAAAAGGGACTCCTTTTTGCTATTGCTTTCTGGGCTTTTAGTGATTCAAAAGAAAGTGACAAAATTACGGGCATTTTTGTTTGTTGATTGCCTGGTTGCTTTTCGGTTTGCCCTCCTCAGGTCTGAGTAGTTTTGCCTTACATCAAACACAATTCGAAACCATGACGTTCGAGTGAGAAACGCCTATCCCACCAAATCTGTGCTTGCTCTCCACGAGGTATGCGCGCTCGTGAAAACACTCCTGGAGATTTGAAGGGAATTCTCGTGTCACACCATGTGGCGGCAACTTTAACTGTTGGCATAGCCATTCGTCAGAGTAGTGGTAGCAACTTTCCTGCTATGCAGGACTCCTGTGAAATGTGCGTTTTCTACGACATGTGCCTCTCCATGCAGGAAAGACTCTCTTGTTCATGTGTGTCCCCCGAGTTGTGAAAGGTTCTACAAGAAATTAACATCTCCCTTCCTTTAGGTCTGTCAGGTTACTGAGCTCATGCTGTGAAAACCGCTGTAAATAGCCTGGCACGTTTGGTAACTCGTCTGTTTCGGCATGCTTAAGACTTTTTTTTCTTAGGGAAACTTGATGAAGCTTGAGTCAGCTAAATCTGCCTTCGTACTTTATCCAAGGGCCACCAAGCCTGCCGCGCTCATGCCAGCACCTGGAAGATTGCCCCCTGCCCCAGGCTGTGCACACAGCTCCCTGCAAAGACCACAAGCACCATCGCTACTCATGGGCCTGCTGGCTTAGACCCCAGAGTGGAGCACTGGCTCAGCCGCCATCCTGCACAGTAGAACTGCCCTCGGACTTGTTTGGGGTTTTGGTTTTCTCCCCCACCTCCCCCCTGTTGTTTGTGAACCTTACATGTTTTGAATGACTTGAACGTTGCATCTTTTACAGTTCTGTTTTTAAGGTTCCTTGGCATTTGATCCTAGTTGTCCATGTTTGGCAATGTGCTGTTAAAGTAATAGACTTTTCAATCTTTATGTATTTTGTGTTTTCCTTTGGCGTACTTGGACAGATGTTGTAGTGGTTTCTTGTAGGAAAAAGCTGTCATTAAAAAAAAATATATATAGCCTTGCAAATAACCACTCACGGTATTTGAGTCACTGTTTGTTCTAGTGAGAAGTAGAGAACTGACTTCATTTTTCTGCCTATATGTCTATTGAGGAAGGGGGAGGTGGGTGGGAGAAAGACTGGTGTTTTCAGAATAAACCAACAAACCTTAATAGGGTGGCATATTTGGGATGCTGATGTGTAGGGACAGGTGTATTTGCTGATGGTCCCAATGAAACCATTTAAGAAATACAACTCAAAGGAGTCCAAATTCAGCTATAGCCTGCTCAGTAATGGGAAATGCCATGAATACTATCATCCCAGTCTGTGAGGTGGGAGGCAGGGCATAAATTCTGTACCCAGTTAGGTAGAGGCAGCTCCAAGTTTGGTTGAAAGCCTGATGACACAGTGGTTTTTCTCCTTTCCCTAACGTAAAGTCACAGCTCGCTTTTTGTACCAGAGAAGCTCTATAGGTTTGATTTTTCTGATGTAACTTGGTCTAGACTCGCAATGGCCCCAGCCACGCTGTCTTCACTGTGGAAGGCCACACAGTTTTGTGACCACCCCTCTCCCTTTTTCATGGCCCAGTGAAAGAGGTGCTGAGTCTGTGAACAGGCTTCCCCCCGCCTCATCTTAGTCCATAGCTTCTACTTCATACATAAAACCTTACATGAGATTTGAGCAGGCGTATTGGTTAACTGAACCCACTGGATGGCTGGAAGGAGCTTGAAGTATAGATCGTTAGATGCATTCTGAAAGTTGTTGATAGGAAATCAATGATGCAGAATGAGGCTTGGAACTGGAAATAGAACAACAGTAGTTACCGTTGGTTGAGCTCCAATTAGGTAGACAAGGAAGCTCTGGTGGACTAGTGGAAAAGGAGCAGTGCTACCAACCCCAAGGCACACAGTTCAAATCCACCAGCTGCTCCGCAGAACAAAGATGGACACTTCCCTCCTGTGTGGTTACTGCCTCTGAAAATCTATTGGAAGGACAGCTATGAGTCAGTTCTGACTTGATGGCACATCACATTAGGTAAACGGAGCAGCTGTGGTTGCCGAGTGGAGTTGTGCTGCCAGCCCAAACAGGTGGTTCAAATCCACTAGCTCTTCTGTGGGTAAAAGGTGGACAATCTTCTGTTGTGTGTGTGATTTTTCAGCCTTTGAAAACCCACTGGAGGGTCAGCTGTAAGTTGGTTCAGACTTGATGGCACATAACAACAACAACAGCAGGCACACATACTTTGGACATGGCAGGAGGGGCCAGTTCTTGAAAAAAGCATGCTGGGAAAGGTAGAGGTAGAGTCAGCAAGAGAGGAAGACCCTCAACGAGATGGCCCAACACTGACTACAGTGGCCTCAGGAGTATGAGAGAGGATGGGTAGGGAAGGGTTCAGACCTGTTGTTCAGAGAGTTGCAGAGTTATAATCGACTTGATGGCATCTAACAATAGTGTGTGTAGGCAGGAGGGAGATAGAGCAAGCTGCTTCTGTAAAGAATACAGCCATGGAGACCCGCACGGGGCAGTTCCACTCTGTCCTATAGGGGTGCTTTGAGTCAGAATGGCCTCGATGGCATTAGGCTGTAGATACAGGCAATGTGTATAGTTATTTTTTAATTTACATCTTCATTTTATCTTAATAATTTTGTGTGGATCAGTTACTCTATTCTTATTCGCAGGTCCTCAGAGGTTGTCACACTGCTCATGCGTGACAGGGCCTGGATTCTGATGCCAAAGTCCAGATTCTTAACTAAATACTACTTACTCTCTTGGCTCTGAAGGTAGGCTCCGGGTGAACCTGTCTTGAGTATAATTAGAAGGAAGCGGGTGAAGGCAATTACAGACTTCACTGCTGCTGCCCACCGCCAGCCTCCCAGTGGGACAGGTAGGGCATGGTGCCTCAGCCCTGTCCCTTCATCTGTTTCTAATGGTGGCTGGACCCCAGTTCCCTGGTTGGGAAGGTTCTCCCGTTTTCAGCAAGGCCTTCCTGTGGTTCATCAAGCCCGTTAGGAAGAGAGTCTGGCTGGGAGCCTTGCTCTACACTCTGCATTCCAGCCTTTACACCCAGGGTTCTTGCTTTGATGGTGGAGTTCTGTGTGGTCTAGTGGCTCAGCAGGTAAGGAGTCACAATGCCAACCCAAAGGCTTGTGGTTCAAATCCACTAGCTGCTCTGAGGGAGAAAGACAAGCAGACAAGCAGTCTTTTTTTTTTTTTAGTGTGTCAGTAATTTTAATGTTGCACGCAGTCAGGCAGACAGATCTGGACGCCCCGCGGCCTTTGGCTGTGCTGCCAGTGCTGCTCTACAGCAAACCCAGCTTGTACTCCACCATCGAGTGCAGCTCGCCCATGACTTCACTTTGGGAGGGATCATTAAGAATATCTTCAAATCCAATGGTCTCATCATTCCCCCTCAAAATATCAAGTGAGAGGTTTGAACTTGGAAGAAATGGGAGACGCTGAACCTGCTGCATAGCCTTGAACTCCATCTGCAGCTTCAGGGGGGCAAACAGACCCTGGATGTTCCTCAGGGTGGAAAAGTTCATTTTATCTTGGTTGAGCTGGAAATTTTTTTTCTGATAACTCGGGGGGATGACTGGGCAAAAGTTCATTTTTCACGCAAGAAAACCCTTTCCGAAGAAGATCATGGCTCTCAAAAGGGCCACTGAGTGATAGTTCAGTTACTGCGATGCTATCTTTTAGCTGAGATCCAAGTCCTCTGGAATTCATCTTGAGCCACTTTCCGTGCAGCCGCCCAGCTCCGCTGCCCTCAGCCCAGCAGTCTCCTTTTGTGTGATCTACAGCTTCTGAAAACTCACTGGCGGGTCAGCAAGGAGTCGATTTTGACTGACAACACACAGCAACAACATTTGTGGTCTTGGCTATACTTTGGAGTAACAGAAACAGTCCAAACTGTGGAAT